TCTGTCAAATAAATAAATAAAATCTTAAAAAAAAAAAAAAAGAATAGCCTTGAGGTCCTGAGAGAAGTCTACCCAGGCCTTATGCTCCTTCCCACTGAGATTATAGAAGCTGGACAGCCATGGTCCTACCCAGCCACACTGGGAGAAGCAATCCAGTACAGCCCAGCAAACACAGGGCCTTACCCAGCTGTCTCTTTGAAGCTCTGGGACATGAGGTTGAGAGAGTAAGGGGAGGAGGGGGAGGCCTGGGCAAGAGTGCCCTTCTGCTAGCTAGCCCCTGACAGAGTGTGATCTCCAGGTAAGCACCGTGGCCACTAAGCGGGCTAGAAATGCCAAATCTCAGGACCTGTCCATACTCACTGAGTCAGACTTTGCCCTGTCACAAGGTCCCCAGGGGACTGATGTGCACAGTAAAGTTTGAGGAGCACTGGTAATGCTCAGATCCCATAAAAGGGCTGGAAAACCAACCACAGTGTGAAGGTGATGACCACAAACACTGTGACTTGATACCCAGCACAGTCATCATTTAAAAAGCACCAAAAGCTTTTCAAACACACTAAAGAGGAAAAGATGACTGGAACACTTAAAAGCATTACAACTAGCCACAGAATACCAAAGTAAAATAGCTGGAAATTTTGTTTTACTTAGTAAGCTGGTTTTAAGTCCTAGGAAGTGATACTGAGCAAAACATGGAAGATTTCTGTCCACCTTAACCCTCCCCAGCCCGATACAGTGGGGCCGCAACAGCTTCTTTGCTCGCTTAGGTTTGCTTACTGATGAGTAAGGACATGAACACAGCCCCGTCAGAGACTCAAAGGACAGAGGAACAAAGTGTGGAATCCACACACTGGAAGGGTGTATTAACAGAGTAAGGAGGAGCCTGCATGAAACTCCATGCTAAAGCTGAACCAAGGAGAAAATGGAATTGTTGCAAACCATGACCATGGAGGGCCTGAGAATTCCATAGGATCCACAAGAAAGAAAATTCAACCAGGTCTTTATAATTTCGTGAAATCTTTGCATCTTATGTATGGCCCCCAAATACTCACAGATAGCAGTCATCTGCCAAAATTAGTTTTAGTAGATGTATGCAATCATTTGCATAAAAGTTTACTATAAAAAAATGCTCACCTGTTACCTGCAGCTTCCCCTTTTGTTTAAAAGGTATTTTTTTCACCTTCAGGAAGAAGGACCTCAAAGTCACAGGGAATAATAGGCATTTTTTGCAACTGACAAAATTTAGGTTTGCCCATGTGGAGAACATGCTTGGTCTTAATAGGCAGGTGAGGACAGAGCTTGGAGTGACTTCGGATGTGCATCCCAGTATCATGCCCCAGACTCGTGGACCCGTCTGGGTCAGGCAAGAAGTATAACCTGTTTCCTTCCTCCCACCAGGATTACCAGGTGGACAGTAGCACTCTGCTGGCCTCCCCCTTGCTGAAGCGCTTCACCTGGGCTGAGAGCAAACCCAAGGCCTCCGTGAAGATTGAGTAAGGAAGCTGGGGGTCTTTTCTCTGATCAACTGATCGAGGGGTGTGAAGGAAGATGCTGGGGAAAACTCAATGGCGACAGTTGAGGGCCGCTCGGCCTCCTGAACTACAGTGTTCAGGTTTTGCAGAAAAGCACTTTTTGTCCTCCCAAGGGCAAGAAGGAGGGTATAAAAATCAGAGAGATGAGCACCAAGTGCTGAGAAGGAAGCCTGGGATTTGAGAAGTAGAAACATGCAGAAAATTCTAGCAGGGACAGGCAGTCCAAACACATGAAGCACAGCGCCTCAGCTGGACGGAGTCTGATATGCCTAAGTGTGAGCAGTGCAAAAGTCAGATGGAGACACGCTTACGGGGGCAGGGAGGGCAGCTCGCCCGTGATCATACCCTGGGCTTGCCAGCATTTGTACGGGAAGGCGCACGGTCCTGTTTTCCCGTCCTAAGATGTGCCATCCCGAGAAGCCAACCCTTCCAAGAGAAGGCTTGTGTCCTGTTGGCTCCTGGCCCTCCTCCCTCCCTACAGTGGCCATCGGCAAGTGCTGTTGGAATAACCTAGGCCCCAGCGTTTTTCTCCACTGGCCCTGCTAGCACTTCAGCTTCTCTGTGCTGGTCTCTGCCTGGGGACCGTGCTGGGCAGGCGAAGGCTGGGCCGATCTATCAGGCATTCCCACCTTTCCTGATTCAAACGCCTGCCCGTCTCACCCAAAGGCAGAACATGCTCCTCCTTCCTCTAAATCAGGGGTCAGCAGACTTTTTCTTCAAGAGCCACATAGAAAACAACTATTCGGGGCGCCTGGGGGGCTCAGTCAGTTAAGCGTCTGCCTTTGCTCAGGTCATAGTCCCAGGGTCCTGGGATCGAGCCCCGTGTCGGGCTCCCTGCTCAGCAGAGAGTCTCCTGCTCCTTCTGCTCATTCTCTCTCTCTCTAGTAAATAAAATCTTTAAAAACAAAACAAAACAACTACTCAACTCTGCCACTGTAGGATAAAAGCGGCCATCACCAATATATAAACAAGGAGGTGGGGCTGTGTTCCAGTAAACTTTACAGAAACAGACGGCCGTGGCCAACGAGCACGGGAAAAGATGCTTAAGGTCGTTAGTCATCGGGGAACCACAAATCAAAACCATAACGACATACCACTTCGTACCCACTAGGATGGCTAGAACCAAAAAGTTAGCATTGACAAGGAGGTGGAGAAATCCTAAGCCTGTGTGTTGTTGTAGGAATGTAAAATGGCACGGTCACTTTGGGAAACAGGATAGCAGTTCTTCAAAGGTTAAATAGCGTTACTCCAAAACCCAGCAATTCCACTCCTTCGGTACATACCCAACAGCACAAAAACTGATGTCCACACAAAAGCTTATTCATGAATGTTCATAGCAGCGTCGTTAATAATAACCCCAAAACAAGCCAACGGTCCTTCAGTTGATGAGTTGATAAAATGCAGTATACCCATACAATCAAATATTATTTGCCAATAAAAAAGTACGAAGTACTGATATATGCTACAACATGGACAAACCTTGAAAAACATTTTTAAGTGAACGAAGCCAGTCACAACAGACTACATAGCATATGATTCCATTTACGTGAAATGCCAGCAATAGGCCACTCTATATATTTATTCTATAAATAAAAGTCGGTCGGTGGTTATCTAGGGCTGGGGGTGGGACGTGTGGGGGAGAAGGGTAACTGGCTATACTAGTGGGTATGGGTTTTGCAGAGTGAGGAAAATGTCCTAAAATTGATTGTGTTGATGGTTGCACCATCTGCGAATATACTAAAAACCATTCAGCTGGACACCTTAAACAGGTGAACGTATCTCAATAAAAATGGAGGAAAAAAAAAAAAAAGAACGAAACCAAGCAGGTTTTCAGCCCATAGCGTGTGCTTTGCTGACCTTGATCTGAGTCCAAAGGTGGGCCCAAATGCCTCTAAGTGATAGAGTGAGCACAATTTAACAACCATGAGTGAGTCTGAAGGGGAGGCACACTGCCAGGCAAACATCTTCATACTTGTTTCCTTTTAACATGAGCACCGTGATGGTACCAGAGCTGAGTCCCCTCAGAGGGTAGAGGATTAGGGGACCCTCACAAAGAAGACGTGTATAAGGGAGGAAAGAAAGTAGGCTACCAACAACCTTTTGTTTCCTATTTTGGGAGACTTAATCTAGATCTCTGTGAAGGAAAGCCATAATCTCGCCCTCGACTCTGAGATTAAAAATATAGAAAATGCTTGACGTGTTAGTCCATGAGCCAGTCGAAGTAATATGGTAGCACATGAGGTTTTCTCGTTCTCATCCCAGCTATGAAGAAACAAATATGAAAGGACAAGAGAAGCTTTTCTTTCCTGTGTATCTGTCTCAGGCTGGATGTAACATATAGAACCAGAAACAAGTTTCTTCTCCTTTGAGCCATAACAAGTTTTCTAGAACACAAACATGATAGGGAAACAACTGTAACTGACCTGTTTGTCTGAAGCTCTGTTCGTTTCTTGAGGCTGTTGTAACACATCCCCACAGAGTTAGTGGCTTAGACCAGGAGAGATTTATTCTCTTGCAGTTCTGGGGGCCAGCAGTCCAAAATCAAGGTGTTGGCAGAGCCGCAATCCCTCTGGAGGCTCTGAGGGAGAATCCATTCGTCACCCTTCCCGGCTCCCGGTGTCTCTGGGCCTTCCTTGGCTTGTGGCCGTGTCTCCCTGCTCCACCTTCAACCACCGCCTCCTGTGTGTGGCTGTGAATCTCCGTCTGCCTCTCTTACAAGGATACGTGTGATTGTATTTAGGGCCCACCTGGGCAATTCAGGCTAAGCTCCTCCTCCGAAGATCCTTAGCTTGATCACCCGGCTTGCCACATGAGGCAATATTCAGTCTTTTGCCGAAGTGCTGTTTGCAGGTTCCAGGGATTTGAGATCTGTGTATTTTGGAGGCGGGAGCGGTTTTCAGCCTACCCCAGTAGCTAGCCGGCCCAAGAGCAGGGGAGGGCCATACCCGTCTCGGAGTTATTTTCCACCCGGCGTTGTGGATTTGCAGTATCTATTCATACCCAGTCCACGCCCCGGCCAGAGAAGGCATCTTTCTGCCTGGTGCTACCAGGCTGGTTGCAGAGAAGCAGCGTGAGGCTCTAGAACAAAGAGCCTGTGAGCTGAGATTGAGATGGGATTCAATAACCATCCGCTCTAGAACAGTTACGAGCAAAGGCCTAACAGGAAAGAGTGGACGTGTTTGTTTTCAAGAAATCGATTTTGTGTATATGATTTTTTTTTTTTTTTCCTTTTCTCTCTTTAGCTTGAGAGTAACCAGTAAAAGTAAGGAGTCGGGGCTTTCTGACCTCACGCGGCCTGCTTTCTGCCATTCCGGGTGTGGGCACATCAACAGAGGCAGGCGCAGATTTACGTATGACAACTCAGAGCTGGAAAAGAAGATTTCGTGCTGCTCTCCTCCCCCAGACTACAACTCGGTGGTCTTATACTCCACCCCGCCTGTCTAAAGTTTGACACATCGCCTTCTTTCTAGAACCACACAAGTATTTATGCCCCCTGAAAACTAGCTGCTTCTGCCAGTATGACACATATATAAATGTACACCTTTACCTTTCCACAGGAGCAAGCTGCCTTTTGTGATTTTTTAATAGTGCTTTTTTTTTTTCTTTTTGACTAACAAGAATGTAACCCCAGATAGAGTAATAGTGACAAGTGAAAAACACCACTGGTAAATCCTCACATTATTCAGTGTGTTAGAGAAACCCTTTCTAAGCCCAATGACTTACCTGCTCCTACCCCTGAGACCACAGGGCATTTGATGATTCAGGAGACACACTGACCCCGCCGTGCAGTGTGGACTCCATGGGGCCAGCCACCGGCACCCGGGAACCAGGAGGCAACCAGCCCTAAGCTGGCCTGTGCAATGTCTCTGGGGTCCTCTAGCAGATGTGACATGGGAGGAGGAGAAGGAAAGAAGGGAAAACGGTAGCAGAGAGTAAACAGGACGGAGCACTGGAGAGAAGAATTTGTGCTGTCCCATATGGGAAGGGAGTAGGAAAAGCCATGACAATGCTTCCAAACCCTGACCGAACCCGGTCCACATGGAAAACCCAGCCAGGGAGCAGATAGGACAGAAGGATGAGGGGACATTTTCTGGATTCCGGCAGGCAAGAAAAGGACAGACATATTTTTTTGGAACTACAAAACAAATTTTTAAAATCTTAGCTATGGGACTGGATCTATGCCCATTCCCATATATGGCACATTTTTAAATTTCTAGCACTGAGCTTGGTGCTCAAATCTGAGCCGAGACTGCAGGCCCCTCTAGCAAGATACACTGCAAACTCACCCTGAGCTAAGCTGGCTCCACGGCATGATGGCCTCACACTTAGCAGGTTGCTCAGAGTAAGCTAACTGGAATGAGTCTGGTCTGTTAGGGCTACCTGTTGGGCTTTAAGCCACATGTTCAAAAATATTGTCAGATTCTATTTTGAGTCTTAATGTATAATCAAAACACTTCAAGTTTTTTACATTAACCTGTTTTGTACAGTTAGTTATAAAAGGAAGCTCTGAGGAGGATGAAAATGAGTCTTGCGGAGGGTTTCCTCTATGCCAAAACCAGGATAGATGGAGCAAAAACAGGATGAACAGGGTGAAAACCCCATCTCTATACCAACCAAACCAACTCACTGAAACAGTTGGGACCCAAAGGATAGGAAGTCAATCATGTTTCCTTTTCAATGGGGATTCTACTATCTCATGCTAGTCTACTGGAAAGATGTGGAAGAACGTTAACCAATGTTTATTAAGCACTTTATGCTCCTTGAGAAAAAAGGTGATATGTAATTTATGCAAGATACTTTTAGAATTGGGACTCAGGATATTAGTTAATGAGCCATCAAGAGGAGAAAAGCCTCTTTTCATCTGCTTTGGACCTTGCCATGGGTCTGAAGATGATGGAAATAGGGAGACAGGGTACACAAGGGTGCCGACTCTTCAGAGTCTACAGACTCTGGATCTCTCAACTGGCTCTGTTTGAAGCTATGTATTTAGGATGTATGCACCTTCTAAAGCCAGTCAAGGCTGGACAGGCAACAGTGAATTGCTGCTTCTGGTAGTAGAGTATGCTTCCCTTTATGCACGTAACTTAACTCTAGAACCTGAGATATAAGGAATCTTTGCTTCCTTCTCTGTGTGTCACACTCTGGTTTCAAGGTTCTTAGTATAAAGAGATGGGACAGTCAGCACACCCCAAGGGGGGCGGCGGGTGCTCCAGTGGGTTCTGCTGGGGAAGCCCCTGGCCGGCAGAGAAGCGAGGCAGGCCTCTCCACCAAGGGCCCAGTGCAAACAAAGTCAGGCCAGGGCCAGAAGAGGGGATGAGCTTTGTTCCTCCTCTTCTTTGCACGCACAAAAGCACCTGGAACAGCTGGCGATGGTATCAATCAGGTAACCAGAAGGAGATTGAATAGGGAAAATTAAAAGAAGATGTCAATCAATTCTCTCGTGCTTTCAAAACAGTAAGGATCCAGCAATGAGTGAAAACAGAAACCTTAACTACCCGTACCACATCTTGATTTCAATAATCTAATTCTGTATTGTTCAGAGACCTTAGTAATGCCATCTTTCCAAAAGAAAAACAAAACAAAACATGTACTAGAACTGTATTAATTCAGCTGCTTCAAAGACTCAGGTTTATAGCCTACACGAGTCCATCAGTCAACAATGGTTCCATCTAGAGTCTTAACACAAAGAAAAATGGAAGCTTGCAGGAATGAGTCTATCTAGTGGCAGAGTGCTTGCCACAGAATGGTTCATTTACCAGCCCTGAACATTTATTAAAAAGCACTGAAAATGAAAACACTAATTAACCGATGATATTATTAGAACCATTTGTCATTTATGACAAAAACAGTTGGCACTAACAAGTAAAGCAGCATTTCCTTTCAGGATTTGTGAGGCCATGTATGTGTAACACTGTGGGTGGAACAGGACTGAAACCATACGCAAGTCTATTATCTTGTTCGTCTAAGAAACGATGCTCAGACCTTAGTTTTAGCCCATGGAACAGATTTGTCCAAATCCTGAAAAATGTCACGTAGGTCTTCTAGCTGTGCCTTGTTTCCCAGCCTGTAAGTATGTCAAACCTGAAACAGATACTTGCCAGGCCCTTTTCATTCGTGAAAGGAGGAGCGCATCTTTGACCGACAGTGGTATAACTGTATGTGTATATACGTGTGTGTTCTGTGCATAACTATTTAAGGAAACTGGAATTTTAAAGTTACTTTTATACATACCAAGAATATATGCTGCAGATATAAGTAAGACTTAATTTGGTCCTACATCTCTAGTCACTATGAATGTATTTTGTATGCTATCTTCATATAATAAAATTAACTTCCAAAAATATCTACCTATTTTCTCCAATTTGCTTATACGTGAAAAAAGGGGTCTTGGGTTTCCTTGGGGGTGGAGGACTGGTGTTCTGAGGGATTTCATTATATACCAATTACGAAACACAGCACAAGAAAAATCAAGCAAGCAAAAAAAAAAAAAAGAAAAGAAAAATCAAGCAACCACTCTGAAGAGAGGAGCGAAGAGCTTTCTGTCCATGCCACAAGATGGCTGCTGTAAAGCATCAGTAAATCAAAACCAAACTCATACAAGGCACATCGCCGAGAAAACTAAACACTAAAATGAACACAATCAGAAGTAAAATGTACAGACTGAGTGCAAGTGCTGGCTGCAAATGGAAGTGCCCTCAATTAAAAAAGAGGTGGGTTTTCCCAAACACTGTCAGCTAAGAAACAATTAATTACAGGATGTGTGTGTGCGTGTGTGTGTATTAGAGGTGGTGTGCAGGAAACCATACAGGATTAGACAAAAGCCTAAGACACAAGAGCTTTCCTAAGAAAAGTACACCAGCCAAATATCTTTCATTTGTGTTTTGGTGGATTACATCCTAAAAAGAGAAATAATCCAGATCATCGCTAATAGACATAAGTGACCAACACATTGTTTTGGAAGTGGTCATCTTCCTGAAAACATCATGAGGAAACTAGATGGAGACATGTTGTAAGGGAAACCAGGCCTACTCTCTTTGGGACAGAGGCAAGAAAGAGGAAAAGTGACTCATCTCAGTAAGTATGTGGTTAACTGAAGAGGGCACGAGGCAGTTTATCTTCATGAATCTGAAATCCTTTAAAAATATTGTTCATTTTCATAACATAAGAGTAAAGTCACTCATTGAAGCACATGATTTGAAGAATGCTCAAGGAATTGGTGTCACATCATAGTTTAGAAATTTTCTCATGACTCTGGAAACGTACAGGACATTTGGGAATTGTTGTGGTTTTTGTTTTGTTTTGTTTTGTTTCTTTCTTCCAGCAGAAGGATGGCCCAGTAAGGTTTACTGGACTCCTCAGTGTTAAACATATTACCAGACTTTGGGGTTTCACAGGCCAGTAAATTTTATAAAAATATCCTGGATCCCAACACAGGGATGACTAGCCTTCTATTTTTTTGAACTAAGGGTATTTTAAGGGAGAAAACAAAACAAAACAAAAACAATTAGATGCCACAAATGTTCTATTTCTTGGTCTGGGTGTGGTACCTAGGTGTGTTCACTTTGTGATAACTAACAGAGCTATCTACTTATTTGCAAACTTGTGTGTATGTGCGTGTTATTATTCAATAAAAGATTATTAAAAGAAAAAAAACCAGGGGCGCCTGGGTGGCTCAGATGGTTAAGCGTCTGCCTTCCGCTCAGGTCATGATCCCAGGGTCCTGGGATCGAGTCCCACATCGGGCTCCTGGCTCAGCGGGGAGCCTGCTTCTCCCTCTCCCTCTCCCACTGCTCATGCTCTCTCTCTCTCTCTGTATCTCTGTGTCTCAAATGAATAAATAAAATCTTTAAAAAAAAAACCATTTAATATCACTTTTCAGAGAAGGCCCATTTAAAAAAGAGTAAGGGCTTAATCTCAGACAAAAACAGATTAACTTCAGGGGCCAGCAACTATTCTAAGTGCTTTAGAGGAATAAACTCATTCAATTTTCAAAGCAACCCAATGTGACTGGTACCATTAGTTGTACCCACATCAAGGGAAAGATTTAAGTAATCAAGAGAACTTCAAAATCTCACCCTCACATCTACCCGCCTGCTGGCACCTGAACTCACGCAAGTCAGCCCTCTCTTGTGGATGGCCAGTTCAAAACATGTCCTGACACAGCTGGATGCCTTCCTATCCTCAGGGACACAGCTCCAGAAATTCAGCACTCCCTCACTGCCATCAACTGGTCCCGTTCCCACTAGATCAGACAAACATGCTATTCACTCTCCCATGTTACAAAACAAACTTCCATTCTTCCTTTCCCCTCATTACCAATACATTTCTTTACTCCTCTTTACAGCAAAATTCCTTGAAGTGGTTAGTCTCTGTTTCCGATCCCTCCGAAGTACTCTTAAACCCGCTCAAACCTAGCTTTCTCTGTCACACTCATGGACACTGCTCTTGATAAGATGATCAGTTACCTGCAAATTGCTAAATCCAACGGCCAATTTTCAGTCTCAATCTTTCTTGATTCATCAATAACTTGACCCTTATTCCTGAAAATATCCATTTTAACCTTGATTCCAGGACGTCGCACATTTTTCTTCCTATTTCACGGGTCATTTCTGTCCCTCTTAACTAGTTTTCTCTTGTCTCTGACATTTGAACATTGTTCCAGTTACCCTAGGGCTCTGCCCTTGGACTTTTTTCTCCTCTCCGTCTATACTAACTCCCTTCATGATCTCAACCAGTCTCAGGGCTTTAAATGACATCTATATAATGACTTGCAAATTACACATACAGACCAGATCTCTCCCCCAGACTCCAAACTCACATGCATACGTGTTAAATTGACATCTCTTGATGCGGTGGCAGACTGTATTTTCCAAAAATAATGGCAATAACATCTCCCATCCCACACGACCTTTGGCAACATGCCCCTGCCACTTCCCCATCAAATTCCTCTCCCCTAGAATTCGAGATGCCTTTGTGACTCAATTGTAATCAACAGACTGTGGCATAAGTGACACTGCATGAGTCTGAGGCCAGGTCAGAAAAGATCATGCCCTTTCCACCCGAGTCTCCTGGTACACTCATGCTCCAGAAGCTCAAACTAGAGGGGCACCTGGGTGGCTCAGTCGTTAAGCGTCTGCCTTCGGCTCCGGTCATGATGCCAGGCTCCTGGGATCGAGCCCGGCAGCGGGCTCCCTGCTCCGCGGGAGGCCTGCTTCTTCCTTTCCCACTCCCCCTGCTTGTGTTCCCTCTCTCGCTGCGTCTGTCAAATAAATAAATAAAATCTTAAAAAAAAAAAAAGCAGCAGCTCAAACTAGAGACCCAGTCGTCATGATTGGAGAAGACTGAGCCACAGGGTGGTCACGTGTAGGTGCTTCCACTGACGGTCCCCAGATGAGCCCAGCTTTTAAGTCATTCAGTCCCAGTATCAGACCAGATGATTTCAGCCCCCAGCCACTGGAATTTTCCCAGCAGAGGCCCCAAACATAATGGAATAGAGATAAGACATCCCAGCTGTGCCCTGTCCCAAATTCCTAACCCACAGAATTCCTGAGAATTATAAAATGGTGTTTTATGCCATTAAGTTCGGAGTCATTCATTACAAAATAAGTAACCAGAACAAATGAGTACTGAACATCTGAAATGTAACAGGTCCCAGACCGAACTCCCATTTGTCTTTCCTCACTTCCCCATCCTTGCCCACACTCCACAAAAACCTTTGTTTCTAAAACAATCTCTTTCAATTCAATAGAATCCCCCTTCCTGTCAGTATCAGGTCAAAATCTTAACAGTCATTTTGACTTCTTTTCTCACTCCATACCCAATAATCAGGACGTCCTTTTTGGCTCTAATTTTAAAATATATTCAGAATCTAATCACTTCACGCCGCCTGTACTAACACGTGTGTCCAAATCCCTCTCTTTTGCTCAAAATATTGCAAGAACTTCCTAACTAGTAACCAAAGAGATCCTTTGTAATTATCACGTTTTTCCTCCACTCAAAGTCTTCCTGCAGCTTCTCTCTTCAATGGGAGTCAAAGCCAAAATGGTCCTAAAATGGTCTACAGAACACTACCCTCCTTCCCCATTACCTGACTTCACTTCTTTTATAGCCACACACGCCCCTTTGCCATTCCTCATATACTCCTGGCACATCCTGACGTGGAATTCTTCTCCCTCAGGTATCTGCATGGCTGGCTCCATTACCTCAAGTCCTTGCTTGAATATCACCTTCTCAGTGAGGGCTGGTACTCAGATCATCCCATTTGAAATTCTAACACCACCACCACATTCCCCACATCTCGAGTTGCAAGATAAAACACGGATAACCAAATTTGAATTTCACATAAACAAATTAATTTTTTTTTAAAGATTTTATTTATTTATTTGACAGAGACAGAGATAGCGAGAGCAGGAACACAAGCAGCGGGAGGGGGAGAGGGAGAAGCAGGCTTCCCCCCGAGGAGGGAGCCCGATGTGGGACTCGATCCCAGGACCCTGGGATCATGACCTGAGCCGAAGGCAGATGCTTAATGACTGAGCCA